AGTCAATCAAGTAAACGATTCATTTACACTTTAGATGTGTGATTATACTATATGTTTGCCGCGGACCAAGGTAGTAGAGAGTAAATGCGAGATCGGGAGTGAGAGATAAAGTGATGAGGAAAAGAGATCGGGGCCCGCACGAGAGGGAGAAGAAGAGGGTTAGTAATCGACATATAGCACGTAAACGAAGATAAAATGAGCAGGGTGAGTTGGTGATTCACATGCAGGGATAAAAATAGGGGAGAAGAAGAGCGACGCTAGGGCGAGGGAGAGGCGGTAATAATAGTAGTGTAACACAAGTACATTTCTAGAGTGTTCGCTGGTGGTTTAGCTCACGATGTCAGAGGCACGACCCCAAAAGCAATCTATAGTGGCAGTCATAGAAGTAGGATGCAGAAACGGTAACTCTTTATTACATAGTTTATGTGGACAATTTGGTAATGAAAACAAACACATATATCATGAATTTATATGATTTCGGTATAACACATACTCGGTGTAACTCACGTGATATAGTCCAGGGGCCGGTTTTCAGAAACAAAATATCTGTCTTAACATTAGTCTTTACATTAACTTTGACTCGTAAACCCTTGACAGAAACATCGTTAAGTTACGAAGATGAAAAATCCTAGAAAACTTCCTCTTAACAGTACGAGATCCTAGACCCTCTGGTAACTTTAAAACCAAATGAAGATAACGTAGTTATACGACGAATTGCATCTATAGAGATATTATATTTGATATAGATTAGTAAACCATGTTTTTTTCATAAGAAACACGTCAGAAACATTACACGTCGCAAACATTTACCAATCGTTTAACAAAACCATCAAAACATATAGAGACATTAGTATATAACTAGTGGAACTAGTATATTATGTCGATGACCAAAAAATACATTTACAAGTGGCGATTCTAGTTTTGGATTGTTTGATGAGTCATGACTCTCGTGAATTGCCTTTCTGTGCAGAATAATGTCTTGCAGTGGAGAACAACTTGCTCATGGCGTTTTGCATACATTTTTGTCATGCACAACAAATGTATATGAATCTGAGTTTTGTGATAGATTCTCATCGAATCTGCAGCATTGAAACGTTTCTGACAACAGGCCCTAGGTGCGTACTCGGCTACGTTTTAATATAATGAGAGAGAGAGAAAATGCGAAGATCATAATTACCTATAGAAGTAGTCGCAGAATTAGAATGTAGAAACGGTGACTATTTAAGCGTTGTCACGTGCGCTATATATATATATAACTACCGCAAGGGTTGGTAAGAACGGGTATTCTTTCCCTTTTTATTATGGCTTGGTCCGAAGGTTTTTCAAGGCTGGAGCCAACAACTCTTGTTGTTCTCCGCGCCGGGTTTAACCAGACGCACGCGCTGTCATCGCTGCTACCAATCTGTGCTACCATCTTAGCTATCGACTGCTACAGGAACCAATAAAACAGTTCGTAGTTTGCCCAGGGGTTGTGTGACGTCACAGGTCACCGGGTCATTTATGACAAAAATCGATGAAATGTCGAGTGCGGCGTGCGCTCTCGGTTCAGCACATATGTACATGTATTCTGTGTACGTGTACACGCACGCATGTGTACGTGCACACACACGCGCGCACGCACGCACGCACCTGTACGTGCACAGGCACGCACCTGAACGTGCACACTCACGCACGCACACGTGCATACGCACGCACGCACGCACGTGTACGTGCACACGCACGCACGAACACGTGCACACGCACGCACGATCACGTGCACACGCACGCACGCACGCACGCACGCACGCACGCTTGCTCGCACGCACGTGTACGTGCACACGCACGCACGCACGCACGCACGTGTACGTGCACATGCAACTAACAATGCAGGTAGTAAATCCAACAAGAGAACTACTAGGTACCGTGTTCCCTGAATTACCTCGTTATCACTGTACGACTGTGTGTTCGCACGTTATTACTGTGTGTGCACACGTTATTACTGTGTGTTCGATCATGTACGATCCAATGAATCAGATGGCGCCATTGGCTGGGTCTGTTGAAGACGATTATAGCTTTATGTTAATTTTGTGTGTACTGTAGATTCAATTCAGCAGCGGATGTAATAATTATGATGTACCGCGCTCTCTGCTGTGCTGAAAATTGCAATTCCATGACACCGTGCATCATATATGCTGCGTGAGACGGTGTAAGCTGCTAACGTACTCTAATACGCAACTAATACATACGTGTGATAGTCTACGCCTGAACTCTTGCGAGTACTAGAAAGCTTACAAAAGCATAGCGGATATAAAAACTGGTGCACACAGGACAGCACGCCATATGATCCATCATGTGAATAAATCTTTACGACAGAAATTGCCATATATTCTATGACACGAGTGTTCGCATACATCTATGCTTCTTGCTACTACGTGATGCTGTTTGACTTGGTTGACTTAAATGCTTAATGACTTAATCTTAACACGCATGCGTGAGATTTCACACGGTATATTGGTGTAATATACAGGATTAACATATACGAGCTATATAGAAACCAATAGTATCAATAGTATCAATTAATTTAGATTACGTAAACAATTTTGTTGCGAATTGTTTAAATATCACTCTATATAAAATATGCTACGTAAACTCTACGATTGGTGTCTTAGCCCGTAGAGTTTTCAGAAAAAATGTAGCACTTTTGTCGCAAATACTTGATTAAATGTTTAATCGAATTTCTAACTGTATGATTCGCTTCTTGCGTTTTTGACTTGATATTTTGAACATGAAATCTAAGCTAATCGCTCAGCAGGAAATGTATCTCAATATCACAAAACTGAAGATATTGATATAAAATCCCGTAGAAAAGCTGTGCATATCAAAACTTCTGTATCCGAAATTCATGGAATGAGAAATAAACATTTCATATTTATGAAACATATTTATTTCATCTGTAACATAACTTCGTTAATTTTGCAAATATAGGTAGCACCCGATCATGCAAAATGTTTGTAAAACAGTGATTCGCCGCTGTAATTGCATGTAAAAAGGCGTTTATTGTAGGGCAGCAAATAAATTTATGTACACGCGCAATTCACTGCCGTTCATACAATTTTTCCCCGGTAATAACGTTCGCATACACACACGCACGCACACACGCACACGCACACGCACATGTAAACAGACTCACATGCGCGTGCGCATACATATTACACACATTACTGTATGTTATCGTCGGTGTGGCTTCTCTGTCGTTTCTCTGCATTGGTGTCTGTAACGCATGACGATAAATCCGCTTAGTATCGTTCGCACAATTTAGACAATTTATAATGTTTTCGGATACTAAATGGTGTTCACTCTTTTGAACTGTGACATCAAATACGATTAAGTACTATTAAAAGAGTTACTTAAAATGCCGTTAAAGGTGCCGTTTAAATGCGGCTGTGGAAGTAAAATGAGTAGCATACATGGCGAGTGGCTATAACGTCAACACAAATAGTAGACACCAACGCTGTCTATCTGCTAGTCGGTGTCATAACAACACGTTAGAGAGATCTATGTGTGAGGCATGCATAAGAATAACATACACCAGAAATAGACGCATATAGGCGGTAGAAAATTTGCTGTTAGGGAACACAAATAGTTTAATACGCACTAGTAAGCGGAAGCAAGTGCTGAGTCGGAATTTGGTAGAAAATGGGAGGCGTTTACTCAGGGTCTGGTACGAAATGTTTTGATTTGATTGATCCTCACGCAGTTATGTTGTGTGTTCTGACAAGTACATTGAATAGAATACTGTCAGATTCTCTTATTTATGTCTACAAAACGACCGCCTCATGCAGATGTTGATTCAAGCACATAATTCTAGTGTTCAACTTCAAAGCACCCAAGAAAAACAATCCTTTATTAAAAGTACTAGTTATTCTATTTTTTGCCGGTGTGAATTTGACAAAATTTCTATTCCACCGTCGCTTCCCATTGAAATACATATGGTTTAAAGAGTAAAGAACAGCTGTTAGTAGAAAGTGGCTGAGGCCATATAACAACTATGCACTGAACCAGGCGCTAAAATTAAACGCGTCTGTGAAGGCTCCGCGTGATTTACAAGCCGATGTCGCCTAAACTGGGTCAGCGTAGAATTTCGTAAAGTACATTAAAAGTACAGTAAAAGTAGACAGAAACATTGAGCCGGGCTAAATAAAAGCGGGGCTCATGACACCGCACCGATTCAGTTCGTGTGTGCTGCGATAGCAGTTGCTAGGCTCAGCAGCGCTCCGCATCTGCGAGGCACACACATGCCCCGGCCCGGCAGCAATGTCGATTCTCCTGCACGCCGTGAACTTTGTGCTCATTGTTAGATTTCTACCGTCATCGTCGCAATCGCTGCAGACATCTCGTAGATCGCCGGCGGATCTGCTGGGCAGCCTGAAGGAATGGTACGACATGAGGATCCGGCCCGACGACGATGCTGGCCCAGTCATCGTCACCGTCGACATGTACATCCGAGCGCTCTATAACATAGACCGTGCGCAGCATGAGCTTTGATGCGCGACTTCACTCTGCGACAGACGTGGTCTGACCAAGACTCAGCATTTCAACGGACGCCACCCGGACCCGGAAAGTATATAGGAGCGCCAAAAATTCGCGACAGTATTTGGAAGCCTGATCTATTCTTTGTTAATTCAAGACACGCCACCTTCCTGCTGTGACGAGCCGAACACATTAGTTCGCATTTATCGAATGGAACCGTGGTGCTTCACCAGCGAATTACGTCAACGTTCTTCTGTCACGATGAATTTGTTCACTTTCCGTTCGATCAACAGAATGTTCCATTAAACTCGCAAGCTTCGGTTATAGCTAGAAGAACTACAGTTCGCCTGAAGGAAGAGACCCTGTCACGGTCACACAGGTATCGAACTGCCACAGTTTCAGCTAGCCAAAGGAGAGAATGCCTTTCCGGTGGAGGTTATTACGAAGCATCATTACACAGGAACTATAGCGAACTGCTAGTACATTTCACGATGAATCGTGACTACGAGTATCACGTCGTGCAGAATCTGATGGCCGTGTGTATTCTGGTAATTTGCTCCTGGATTCCTTCTGGTTACACGTACAAGCAGCAGCCGGCAAGAGTGGCTCTCGTGTTACGACGTTCTAGCGATAACACACAGAGCGCCGCGGTGCGTTACAACCTCCTCCCGTCTCTATCTAAAAGCATTGACGTTTGGTTCATGCGTGCAACATTATTCATATTCCTGTCACTGCTGGAGTTTGCGCTGGTAAACTACCTCACCAGAAGGTCGGAAAGTTGACAAAGGCATTGAGGCACCCGAGCCGTCAAGAACAGGAAACAAATGACACGGCTAAGACTGGCGCGTCCTTCAAACTGAAGCGTCAATTGACACGGCTTTCTATCTTAACAGATGAGGAACATCGCAAAGCAAAGTACGTCGACATTGTCGCTCGCGGCTGTTCCCCGTCGCCTTCTGCTTCTTCCTCATCATATTCTGGTCGATTTACAGTGCATCTAGTATGAATCTGTAGGTAACGAAAACTCATACCAAAATAATGAGGGCAGCTGATTTTGCGTTGAAACATTGACCGTTGCAATCAAGGTCGTATAGAACTCTCTTGTCACCAGTGTTTGAAATAGTACCACGTCCGCCAGTCCGGCACTGGTAATTTTGCATTAATACGAATTTTACTATAGGTATACAGCAGAAATATTTTTTTTTCGAAATTAAAACTGGCTGAGATTTTATACCTATTTCTAAGACTGCAATGTCGGTTGTGAGTTAAGGATACTCTCCACCGTTGTGCATGAAATTTATCGATTTTTCGTTTTCAACTTTATTCGATGGCTAACACTATGTCCCACCTGTGTACATGCTTATTTCTCCATATAACGTTATTATATAAAATTTATTAGTTATGCCTCTTTATTCGCTAAAATTTTCTATTTTTCACACAACTTGATTTTAAGCAGTTTTTCGAGTTTCTTCGTAAATTGTATAATTAAGAAAATCCTGACGCGCTATTTGGTCCATTTGTGCTTAACATGTGGCAAAATTTGTATCCTCACCTTTCTGGTAGTTGAGAAATATCCAATACCATTTTTACATAAAAATTCAAAATTTGTGTGGTAACATAATTAGGTGCTGGAAATTTCATGAAATTTTTTTGCTTGAGCATAGAGATATATCTCTTCTATAAATAAACACTGGATTGATTCGATTCATTCGCCAATAAACGTTTAATCTCACTAGAGCAATACCCGTGCACAACGTGGAGAGTATTATAAGTGGTCTATCAATATGTGTGTTAGACTAAACAACGGGCAGTTGTCGTGTTCTATAGATATTCATTATGGCATAACGGCGTTTGAATTATAAACGATGTGTTCAGTAAATCACAAAGACCTTTATTGTCTGAGTGCGTACGCTACTTACGTGTTAAATGATAGTAACCTTGTGCTCAGTCATGCGTTTATGTCATTCATAATTGACTAGCCTTCGCTACGATATAGTGATTTTGCTTAGTTTTAATGTTTAGATATATTTGTTTCAATAGGTATATTTAAACTAGATACTGATATTCCCGTGTGCAGTTTCTGCCTGGATAATTCTTACGCCTGGTGTTACATACATAGACTCTCACAACGCTGTGCAATTTATGTACTAGACAATCGTTACCTTCGCCAGTACGGAGAATAATGCAGGAGCCGTTGAAGCGTTAATCATGTAACCAGTTTAATGCGCGTATGCCGTCACATGGCTGTCCTTAGCACGGTAATTCGTTCTGTATTGACATGTGCTGGTTTTTGACTCCACACTATGTATTGTCTGCAATGAAGCTGGTTATAAGCGTGGTGGGATATATCTACGAAAGCTACATCTTCGTCAAGACGTAGCCTAGGAGGAATATATTCCGAGTAACCTACCAAACCGACTGACGCGACCGACGACCGACCGACCGACCGACCGACGCGACCGACCGACCGACCGACGCGACCGACCGACGACGACCGACGACCGACCGACCGACGCGACCGACCGACCGACCGACCGACGACCGAACGCGACCGACCGACCGACCGACGCCGACCGACCGACCGACGACCGACCGACCGAACTGACGGTTACAGTTATGCGGAAGATGGATTGGCGCGGTAGAATTTGCGTAGCATTGGTATTGAGTCTCGTGGAAGCGCGTATTTGTCATATTGTTCGATATATAGTCGTTTCTAGTCTGTAATAAAGGTCACCTGCTGGCCATCTAGATATCTACCGCGTGATTTGTGCTTTGCATCTGGGGTGTTTTCTTTCAGTTCTCATATGCGCATACCACACTGGGTGCGAGATGAGAGCAGTTCACAGAACCCAGCCACAGACCTGGGTTGATGCGGCTCATTGTTTGCGCATGCCGCACACATGGGTGAGAAATATTGCAACACGTCGTTAATAGTTAGTTTTTGTGCTACTATGTGATTATAGCCTGAGTGTCCTGCAACAGTAGGCAGTTTCCGTAAAACGTTTAGATCGAGAAACTTGCAACGATTCCGTTTAAGGCGAATAATAACCTCCTCCAGCGCCCTGAATCTGTATACAATTTCGTCGTAGCTTTATGTTTAGTAGTTCAGAGAATTAATTGCGTCTGTAAATAGACGTAACCAATATGCCAAACGAACACAGTGCAATACATTCTAAATGAGCTGTTAATATCCCTATAAAACAATAACTTTCACGTGCTCTCATCGGTTGCTAACGAGCAATCCTGGTGTTTGAAAGGCACGGTGTTAATTGTGATTCGTATAGTGCTATTTACGATGCTTACGCGTTTAACAAACTATTCTAGGTCCAGTGAATGTTTCTACTAATCAATTTGGCTATGCGCCGCATTCTGTCGCATAGCAATAGTCAGGTGGGCCCTTAATATGTAATATATATATATATATATATATATATATAGTAGGTATATAACAGATATACAGATATATGTGCGTTGATATGTAAAGTCAATCAAGTAAACGATTGATTTACACTTTAGATGTGTGATTATACTATATGTTTGCCACGGACCAAGGTAGTAGAGAGTAAATGCGAGATCGGGAGTGAGAGATAAAGTGATGGGGAAAATAGATCGGGGGCCCGAGCGAGAGGGAGAAGAAGAGGGTTGGTGATCGACATATAGCACGTAAACGAAGAAATGAGCAGGGTGAATTGGTGATTCACATGCAGGGATAAAAATAGGAGAGAAGAAGAGCGACGCTAGGGCGAGGGAGAGGCGGTAATAATAGTAGTGTAACACAATAGGAGTATTCAGAGCAGGGTAGTGTTATTGTTGTATTCTCTTCTAGAGTGTTCGCTCAACATGTCAGAGGCACGACCCCAAAAGCAATCTATAGTGGCAGCCATAGAAGTAGGATGTGGAAACGGTAACTATTTATTACATAGTTCATGTGGACAATTTGGTTATGAAAACAAACACATATATCCTGATTTCATATGATCTTGGTATAACACATACTCGGTGTAACTCACGTGATATAGTCCAGGGGCCGGTTTTCAGAAACAAAATATCAGTCTTAACATTAGTCTTTACATTAACTTTGACTCGTAAACCCTTTACAGAAACATCGTTAAGTTACGAGAATGAAAAATCCTAGAAAACTTCCTCTTAACAGTACGAGATCCTAGACCCTCTGGTAACTTTAAAACCAAATGAAGATAACGTAGTTACACGACGAATTGCATCTATAGAGATATTATATTTGATATAGATTAGTAAACTCTGTTTTTTTCATAAGAAACACGTCAGAAACACTACACGTCGCAAACATTTACCAATCGTTTACCAAAACCATCGAAACATATAGAGACACGTACTAGTATATATATGAACTAGTGGAACTAGTATATTATGTCGATGACCAAAACACACATTAACAATTGGCGATTCTTGTTTTGGACTGTTTGATGAGTCATGACTCTCGTGAATTGCCTTTCTGTGCAGAATAATGTCTTGCAGTGGAGAACAACTTGCTCATGGCGTTTTGCATACATTTCTGTCATGCACAACAAATGTATATGAATCTGAGTTTTGTGATAGATTCTTATCGAATCTGCAGCATTGAAACGTTTCTGACAACAGGCCCTACGTGCGTACTCGGCTACGTTTTAATATAATGAGAGAGAGAAAAAATGCGAAAATCATAATTACCTATAGAAGTAGTCACTGAATTAGAATGTAGAAACGGTGACTATTTAAGCGTTGTCTAGTGCGCTATATATAACTACCGCGAGGGTTGGTAAGAACGCGAATTCTTTCCCTTTTTATTATGGCTTGGACCGAAGGTTTTTCAAGGCTGGAGCCAACAACTCTTGTTGTTCTCCGCGCCGGGTTCAACCAGACGCACGCGCTGTCATCGCGGCTACCAATCTTTGCTACCATCTTAGCTATCAACTGCTACAGGAACCAATAAAACAGTTTGTAGTGTGCCCAGGGGTTGTGTGACGTCACATGTCACCGGGTCATTTGTGACAAAAATCGATGAAATCTCGAGTGTAGCGTGCGCTCTCGGTTCAGCACATATGTACATGTATTCTGTGTACGTGTACACGCACGCACGTGAACGTGCACACTCACGCACGCACACGTGCATACGCACGCACGCACGAACACGTGCATACGAACGCACGCACGCACACACGTGTACGTGCACATGCACGCACGCACGTGTACGTGCACACGCACGCACGCACGCACGAACGTGTACGTGCACACGCACGCACGCACGTATACGTTCACACGCGAAGACTGTAGCATTGCAACGACACAGATGCATGCGTATGTGTACTGTACGGTTGAAATACGAAATATTTTGTCACAAATGACCTGACCCGGAAGGATATGTGGCTAAGTTCGCGCATGCGCAGACTGTAACTACGAACTGGCTTATTGGATATACAAACACATGGATTGCTGACTCCCTCGCACATCCGGTGGATGCGGCGTTTGTAGGGGTCGTTGCAGAAGCAGGTAGTCGCCACTTCCGGCATGTAGTGTGTCAATGTCTTCTTCTATGCAGTGCTGGCAGTTTTACTCTCGAGACTCATAACACCATACTTTTCGGTTATATGTTTTGCTTTAGCCTAGTCATTGACCGTGCTAGAATTAGCTCAAGGCATTTTGAGGAAAGCTGCCTTCGTCAGGTATGGCTAAGTCTTTTTGTAGTTTATATTAGTTAATTATTCGTTTATGCCGCTTTCACACTGGGGTTTATCACGCTTCAGGTCCGGACCTGAAGCGGGATAAACCCCAGTATGAAAGGTCGAAACACCCTTAGCCCGAGCTAAAGTTATCCCGCTCTAGGGGGTGGTCAGGTCCGCTTCAGACCTGAGCTAACGTCAGTATGAAAAGGTATCTGGACTTTAGCTCGCTCTAAATTCCCCCCCCCACAAACCTCCCCATTACCCCATTCATACTGGGAGTTATCCCGCTTCAGGTCCGGACCTGAAGCGGGATAAACCCCAGTATGAAAGGTCGAAAAACACTTAGCCCGAGCTAAAGTTATTCACCTCAGGAGTGGTTCAGGTCCGCTTCAGACCCGAGCTAACGTCAGTATGAAACGACTTATCCCGAGCTAAAGTTATCCCGCTTCAGAAGCGGGCTAAAGTCGTGCGCGGTATGAAACGACTTATCCCGAGCTAAAGTTATCCCGCTTCAGAAGTGTATGTCATCCAACCCCACTAGACGATATATGTTTATGACGGTTCCAAGTCCAAATGGAAAAGGGATTTTAAATCTAGGAAGCCTTCTTACGAAATATATACCACAAAAAAGTGTTGAGGTTGCGAAGCCACTTGCTCAGAAGGAACCTGTACGTAGGATGGGTTAATATATCCAGGAGTGTATAATAATAGACATCTATTATTATACACTCCTGATATATTAACGATGCATGCATATAAACTTGACTAATAAAAATTTGGCTAAAATGTCATTTGCTAGATTCTGATTTAGTAAAATTCAAATTGTATTACAATGTATTTGTAATAAGTAACTAATTTCCATCTGCATCCTTCCATTCTTAATTAGTGCTTAATTTTTTTAATTAAATCTCAAAGCAAACGTAGATTCGATTTCTGCAACTAGTAGGTGAATGTTATACACTATGCTCCTATCTACGTGTCACTGTTGTCTGCTTTATGCTGAAGGCGTTTGCGAAGTGTTTTTTACTTGCATGTGAGGTGCTTTTGATAGTGATATTGATCAATGATGTTTTTACATTTGTTGTGAACACGAATTTTGAAGCAAAATTTTTTAAAGTCTGCCAAAACGGTCTCCTTAATTTCTTCGGATACCTCAATGCTCATTCACCAAACATAGCGAAATAAACTATAACGCTGTGGGACTCATTTCAGATGAGGGAAACAACTGCCGACATGTCACTTCCATGGTAGTAAATGCAAAGCCAATGTTTTCCTTAGGCCTGAGAAGGCCATGCCTGCTGAGAACACCGATGTGATCAGGTGGGCTTTGTTGGGAGCCCGATTCTTGAGATGCCATTGCATCACTAAGTTTTAAACTGACTATTGCGAGATTTTTGCTCAGAATAACTAAATATAGCTGAATATAGTCTCACCTGACAGCGAAAATATCACTGATTACACCAACATTAAAAATACTAAGATTTTATGCAGTTATAGCATAGAAAATTGGATATAAACACATCGTAACAGCAATGCATTTTATCGTGTCGTGACAATGCCTAATGGCAGAATTGGTAATCTTGTATTTGTGTCGGTGATGAATTGAAAACAAGTGCGTGCCTGTACTGTGGGTATAGCAGATAAGCGGTGGCGCCACAAGCTAATGCATACTTCCTTTTAGTTCAAGATGACAGAAAACGAATGTTTACAAAAACGATAAGTTCGAAACTGGCAGTTTTCGGTGGTTCTAAGGTTCTAAGACATTTTATTGTTACTCTAGACAATTGCTGTTACTCAAGCAATAACGGTAGGTATCATGAAAGTGGGGAAAACACTGGAAAATTCTCGCAATAATCGCTTTAAGATGTCTGTTTTTGTACTTATTGCTGGGTTGCAAACGACAGGCTCGTTTGAAAGGATCAAGAAATGTAAATATGTAGGCTATAGAGAAACGGGTTATGTTAAAACGTATGAAATACATCTGGAATATATTAACAATAAAATATTAACAGCTTGTACATACTCGCACATGTTTAACATCTGGTAGGCTTAGATTTTAGATATTTGTTCTTACACTGTTTAATATAGGGACTTACAGGAGCCTTCCCTCGAAGTTGCAAGCGGCAAACATAAAATCAGGCAAAAATGTATTATTTTAACATTGCACGTTTATACTTGCCTATATATGTGTGATGGGTAATAAAGACTTTTACCCATAATAAAAGCTTTTAGACTTCAAAGTGAATGTGTCGGGTCGAATGTTTCAAACAGCGTTTACTTTTGCCGCTCTGCGGCGATGTTGTTGTCTCTTGTTGCCATGCGGTGTTGCCACGCGCTGAAGGTCATGAAGGCTGCATATGCTCATAGATATCATATAACACGTGTTGCATAACACGTATAACACGTGACCTGCGTCGACTCTTGCCGCAATGATACAGAACCGCGGCGAAACGCATTTTCAAGTTGTTTTTTCGTTGAGAGAATATATGCTTGATACATATTTTTACAGTTTTATTTTCAAAGCTAACATTCAGTTAAAGTGTAGTGAGTTATTTACTTACGTTTTAACAGTGGTTTGTCACAAAAATGTTCGTGGGAATGCATTTTTAACTGTTTACATTATTTAAGCTTTTAATGTGAGCCTGCATGTCTTGAGGTAGTCCCTTAATTGTCTTTCATCCTTTCGTGTAGCACATCACCAATGAGAGAATCACTCAGCTGAATTTAGAAAATACGTAAAATCTGTACATACGTAGAAGTAAAATGACTTGTGGAACTATGCTCTTCTATCTGAAATTATGATTCTCAGCACAGCGACAACTCGGGTTGCGTAAATTTGCTCAAATGTTATTTGTATATTATGACCAATAACTTTTCTCATGATACGAAATAAAAATTCGTTATTACCTAATTTTTTATAGAATATTAAGTGTTTCCACGTGCAGCCTGGCATGCTCATTGTCATAAATATATTATATGGACATATGTGAGGAAGAGGCCTGGACAGCCTCTACGGGGTACATCATAAATATATTATATGTCATAAATATATGCAGCCAGCTTCTAATGTGTCAGGTTGGTGGGTCATCATCGATACGCGTAACATACCGCGAGACAATTTTACTGGAACATGTAACATTTAGTAAATGTGTTTTGCTGCATTTAATCCCCCCACCATGATGTCCACATTGTAATAGTAATACCTGCAACTGTTTAATGAGGAAGCAAACAATTTTAAATTTAGACGCTCAAGTTATACGCAGTGGCATTTCAACTATTTTAGCTTGTTATGGAATTTGGTTCTGCAAACGATTATACCTTGGCGCAAACATGCACTTCTTTCCCCTTCAACCTCAGTTTGTTCAGTAGCTATTCAACTCGTTCTATATTAGTATTATGTTTATTGCTAACCATATTGATATTGTAATTGTGTTTTATATTAACATGGACATTGTGAAAGATAAAAATGTATACGTCTATATTTAATAAATACTGTCTATACATGGATACTAATACAGCTAACACGACATGCAGGCTGCGGCAATACAGATTACTTTATATCATATCATGTTATTTTTGACTCGTTGAACGTACCCGTATTTCGTCTAATACATTGAAATTAATGTTACAATATGCATTTCAGTGTTGATGATAATAATACAATCAATCGAAATTCATAAATATGATAAAGAAGATATGAAGATAGGATACGAATACGGCTAACACAACATGCAGACTGCGGCAGTACAGATTAAGTCATGTTATTGTTGACTCGTTGAATTAACGTACACGTATTTCTTCTAATACATTGAAATTAATGTTACAATATGCCATTTCAGTGTTGATGATAATAATACAATCAATAAAAAATCATAAAGAAGATAAAGAAGATATGTTATGCCTTATTTTAATTTAGTGCATCACGTGATAAATCGTTGAAATTCTATTGGATAACGCAGCAGGCACTATAAAGCAATAGTGCCCGCCTGAGCGGGCACTATTGCTTGCGCGACGCATTGTTATTATAACGCATTGTGTTCACGTCACGAATCTCCTGCGTCTGGGCGCCACGCAAGAGTTTCGAACGGCGGTTGTGTTTGTGTAGAACGTTTTGTTACATCGAATGCACCGGCAAATTAGGGAGTATAAAGATATATAATTAGAAAATTAAAACAACAGGGGCCGGTTTCACGAAGCGTACTTAACTTAAGTATGATTAAATCACTAATCATACTTAACTTCCCGTAATTATGATTAGTTAATCATACTCAAAAATCTGTTTCACGAAGCGATTTAAGTACATATTTAACTAATCACATAATTAGCCGACTTCAACATGAATAGACTGGCACTAGGTTAGTTCTCGGGTTAGTTACTCGATGGGAATCGAGTAATCAAGGTAGGAGCGAGTACCCGTCTAAAACAAATTACACGGTATTCAATATGGCGGACCAATACGCCAACATTATCTTCAAGTTCGGTACATGAAAAGGAATTAATTTGTAACTATAATGATTGAAGTAGTACAGCAAATCTTAGATAATTTAAATTTCCTTGGGAAAAAATTGAAGTAAAATTTCCAATTAGAAAATCTGCAGCGTACTTAATATACTAGTACTACCTACTTCTAAGTTCTAGTACTAGCAACTAATTATGATTAGTGGATTTAATCATGCTCCTGAGTAGAATTAAATATTGTGATTAACTTAATCATGATTAAAGTTAATTACGCTTCGTGAAACAGTCACTTTAATTTAAGTACGAGAAGTTAATCATGATTAGTGATTTAATCACGATTCAATACTTAAGTACGCTTCGTGAAACCGCCCCCTGGCATTAATATATAAATAATTGCATGCAGTGAAAACTGCTTTCAGTGATAAAAACAGCGTACACCGAGCGGACCGGAAGTTTCCTGTGACCGGTTGTGCTGCCGCCTGTCGGTGATGCCGCATCGCCTGTATAATTTATCGTTAGCGCGCGGAAGTCAGCAACCCATGTGTTTGTATAATATATCTATGCATGTTTATTGCGTCGGGCAGGTCAGTCCTAATGTGTATACATACAACGCGTAGCCGACGCCAGTATTATCTGCTGCGTCGGCGCTAAAGCCAGTCCGCGCTAATTATTAAATGTGTTTATGAACGTACTACAGTATTAACATCTATTATCCGAAATTCTGAAAACCGAAAACCGTGTTTGGCAATTCTCATACATATTGTACTGTACCGGTACAGCACTTGGACTCTTGAAAACTTGGGTTTCAGTACTGGCTAGTTGAAGAATATACGTAGTGTTTGTATCTGTACTGTACTACCATTCCGAAACGTGTCTGGTGCCAAGAGTTTCTGAAAATATATTGTGTACTGCATCCCTGCATTTTAATAATCCTAGCAAGAAGAATAGTTTGTTTTAGTTAGATATTTGTGTTTGTTTTAGTTTACTTTAAAACGCGACTCGAAATGTCAAATTTTATAAATACTTTCAAATGAACAGTAACTAACACACCAATCCATAATCATATGCTAAAAAGAAGTAAATTCCGATTATAATTTATCACTAGTTTTCAACATGCAACAATCATAGACCCAAGTTTCACATAGATGAAGTTAAACTGGTAGTTCCGGCAATTTAATTTAAAGTAAATTAATATCGCATAGAAAATAGAAAGTAGTATATATAACTGAGACAGGAACGAACTCTTTGGCATTGTATTAATTAGCATCGTACGGTGTAACATTATATTATATCTGATAGAATTTTAAAACGATTGTGAAGGAGAGAGAGAAACGGGAAGTTGAATATTCTGTGTATATCCACATAGACAGCAATAGGGAAACAAGTTTTAATAATTTCATATCAAACCAATACAATTCGTACTACATTCTTCTTCTATCATTCTAAATGGTGAAATATTTGTAAAATAACATGCTATGCGAAGTAACGTTTCAAGACATATTACTACTAGAATCTCAATACACCGCGATGTACTACAGAGATTCTATAAGCCAAAGGTTTGATATACGTACATTTCCTTGTAATCGATATGTTAAACAAAATGTAAATTAATCACACGTCCTTTCACTAAAAGACGGTGCGTAATTGATTATTACAGATTCTGACTAGATGCGCCATAAATCGACCAGAATAAGATGAGGAAGAAGCAGAAGGCGACGGGGAACAGCACGCGAGCGACAATGTCGACGTGCTTTGCTTTACGATGTTCCTCATCTGCTAGGATAGTAAAATGTGACAAATGACGCTTTAGCTTTGGCAGGACGCGCTCCGACTCAGCCGTGTATTTTGTTTCCTGTTCTTTGGCGGGCTCGGGTGCCTCAATGCCTTTGTCAACCTTCGCCGACCTTCTGGTAAAGTAGTTCACCAGTGCAAACTCCAGCAGTGACAGAAATATGAATATGTTGCACACTATGAACCAAACGTCGATGGCTTTTAGATAGGAGACGGGAGGAAGGTTGTAACGCACCGCGGCGCTCTGTGTGTATATCGCTAAGAACGTCGTAACACCGAGAGCCACTCTTGCAGGCGCTGCTTGGACATGTAACCAGAAGGAGAGCCAAGAGCAAATAACCAGAAATACACACGGCACCAGACTTTGCACGACGTGATACTCGTAGTCACGATTCATCGTGCAATTCACTTGCAGTTCGCTATAGTTTCCGCTTTTAAGATACTTCGTTATTTCTTCAACTGGATAATTTTCTTCGCTTACGGCCAGTCGAAACTGTGGCAGTTTGATACCTGTGTTGATAGTGACAGGGTTCTCTTCCTTCCAGGCGAACCGTAGTTCATCCATGCTATAACCAAAGCTTGCGAGTTTAATGGAACATTTCTGTTGATCGAACGGAAAGTGAACTAAATTCATGTGACAGAAGAACGTTGACGTAATTCGCTGGTGAAGCACCACGGTTCCATTCGGATAAATGCGAACTAATGCGTTCGGGCTCGTCACAGCATGAAAGGTGGCGTGTCTAGAGTTGGTAAAGAACAAATCGGGCTTCCAAATACTGTCGGCGAGTTTTGGCGCTCCTATGTACTTTTCCGGGTCCGGTGGCGTCCGTTGAAAGGTGAGTCTCGGGTCAGACCACGTCTGTCTCAGAGTGAAGTCGGCGTCAAAGCTCATGCTGCGCACGTCTATGTTATAGAGCGCTCGGATGTACATGTCGACGGTGACGATGACTGGGCCAGCATCGTCGTCGGGCCGGATCCTCATGTCGTACCATTTCTTCAGGCTGCCCAGCAGATCCGCCGGCAATCTAGATGTCTGCAGCGATTGCGACGATGACGGTAGAAAGCTAACAATGAGCACCAAGTTCACGGCGTGCAGGAGAATCGACATTGCTGCCGGGCCGGGGCATGTGTGTGCCTCGCAGATGCGGAGCGCTGCTGAGCCTAGCAACTGCTATCGCAGCACACAAGAACTGAATCGGTGCGGTGACCTGAGCCCCGCTTTTATTTAGCCCGCGGCTCAAGGTTTCTGCTTCTGCGTTTACTTATGTACTTTAAAAACGGATCCTTTCAATACAGACAAAAACTAGCAAACCAGCAGGTTTTGCTGACGCGTGTAAATTTAACGCGGTTAGCATCAAACATATGGACTCACTGTCTTCTCAAACCTAATACGTTTGGTATCGGTTTTATCTCAATATAGGGGATTATGAAACGGTCCAGCCTTCACTATTCCGCTAAGATTTACTATACATATAATGATTTATAGAGGGGCCTTTATACATTTTCGTTGCAAATTACCCACGTAAATTATCAATTTTCTTTCCGCCATGCAAACGCCTTCCTTAAAGCTACCGCACACTAGAGCAATATAGCTAAGCAATCGGTCTCGCGAGAAATATGGCTTTCGAGTTGTGTTACCCGCAAACTAGACTAGGGCAATCGGACTTGTGTATTGCTTGTTTATGTCATTGGTCTGGCTGGTCATTGTGTCACACTTTCACTTTTTCTCCTGGTACCACGTGCACGGCGTGCTTCGGCTTGATGATGGTCGTAAACTCGCACCAGTTATAACCCTGGTTGGGCTATAAAAAAAAAGCTGTGCGACACCAATGCAGAGGTCCTGCTGTGTCGCACTCATATTTCTCTAGACCCTGTGTAGGTAGATGCTAAAGTGTCACTCTGCGGTCGTGGGTGATAACTTTTACTCGTGTTCCAGTGACTCAGTTTCTTGGGATATTCGTGGTGCAACTTTCACTTGTTGTTACCTTGAGCTATTTGACTAAAATAAGCTATGACGTTATCTGCTTACGTTAAATGACCCGTGTCGGTAGGTTTTATACTAGGCTAAATAATTTCATATCCACGTCATTATACGCCATCTATTGTTAGTGTCATGTCAACTGCTAAAACATTGAACAAAACAAGTCATGGAAAGGCAACAGCAGTCGCTTGCATGTTTATACGCGGTGAGGCGTGCGACCGTCGACCGATCGATTGCGGTTGCAGGTTGCAGCGACGAGCAACCAAAAATCGCAAGTCTGCACTAGGCTTAACGAGTTCCCCTTCACCAATTAAGAGAAACCACGATATCATCGTGAGAGAGTGAGTGAGTGAGTGAGAGGGTAAAAACAAATGTCTGCTTTTATTTTCTCCTGCTCTATTTTCTTCTATCTCTATCTATATCTATATCTATATCTATATCTATATCTATATCTATATCTATATCTATATCTATATCTATATCTATATCCTTTCTATATCTATATCTATATCTATATCTATATCTATATCTACTACTTAATCTTATCTATTATATATATATATCTATATCTATATCTATATCTATATCTATATCTATATCTAATATCTATATTCTATATCTATATCTAGTTATCTATATCTAGATCTAGATACTATATCTATATATTTATATCTATATCTATATCTATATTTTATATCTATATGTATATCTCTTATATATATATCATATATATATCTATATCTATATCTATATCTATATCTATACTATATCTATATCTATATCTTATATCTATATCTATATCTATAATCTATATCTATATCTATATCTATATCTATATCTATATCCATACAAGCGGCAAGACCTCTAATCTTGGAGAGCTCCGCGCTTATACCCCGTTCCGCTGCAGCTCTGCTCTCCATGAATGTACGTCTCACATTCATATTCCAATATCATCATAACTATTATATATTCGCAGTATTTCCCCCTCCTGGCTTTTTGTATGTAATCTGTTTCTTGTAAACATTTATATCTATAGAAACTCGGTCAAGTCTCGGCATCTACCGAGTGGTTTTGACATCATATACGTAGCAAAGTCTCTCTCTCTTTCTCTCTTTCTCTCTCTCCATCCTTCTGCTTCTCTCACTTACTCATTCGCACTCACTCACTCACTCCGCTGTCAGTCTCGCTCACTCACTCACTCACTCACTCCACTCACTCACTCACGTCACTCACTCACTCGCCTCCGCTCGCTCGATCCTCATAGATCACTCACTCAGCTCACTCACCTCACTCACTCACTCACTCAACTCACTCACTCACTACACTCAACTCACTCACTCACTCCACTCACTCACTCACTCACTCACTCACTCACTCACTCACTCACTCACTCACTCACTCACTCACTCACTCACTCACTCACTCACTCACTCACTCACTCATTATCGCTTATTATTTCTCACTGCCCCCACGCGTGCATTCACCTCCACACATCTGTAGGTGTGCCACCACGTGCATGTGTATTTATTTACACGCGCCGTATAGTTAGTTTGTGCAGTAGTGTGTTATGACCGCGGATGACGACAACCTGTATAGTTTGAACACTACCATGGATGGCTATCGTCGAAGAGAATGTGTCATCGCTCGAGAGAATTCTTCCTGGACAGCCGGTAGCCTCAGCGGAGAACAGGTAACAAGGTTGTCAGGACATTCTGTTAAACGTGTTCATATATGTATGTATGTGCGCGTGTGTGCTCATGTGTATGTAGTGTGCGGTTTTACGGCCATCGATGTACGGCAGTGTTAGTGAGGGGAGAAGATTAACAACACGGCGGTAAGTGCACTGACATTTGTTTACCTTAATCATTTCACGTTCTGCTCCAGTTTTCAACGATACATACACGTTTTCACTTAAGCTCGTCGTAACTCTACTCAAGACGAAACACGCCGCAATCCTATCGAATCTAATTCTTCAAAAATAAATGCATACCCGCGCTCATATCTGAAATGTTTTACATATTATAAGTGCCGGCCTAATTTTAATTGTGTATGCGTAACTTGCATATCGTATAAACATTTCCATGATTATCTATTGATCATGTGCCATTATTATATAGAGGCCGAATGCGCGTGCGTCGTACAAATTGCTACCGAAACAAAAAGATCTTGTCGTCGAACATTTGTACTTATAATTATCGCATACATCCACGGCTTATTTGGAATAGTGACTTGATCTAAATATTATGTACTATAATTCAAATTAATAAAATGTATATATTTTCGTTTATTTGATGTCGGCATAATTCAATGAACGAACATGTTCGCATGTCGTCAGCGCTCAATGGTTCCAAGGACGGTCGCTCACACGTATATTTGCAGAATAGGCAACTTTCGCGTTTCGAATTCACATGCTCGGTAACTCCATTGTCTGGCATAGCGATAGCCAGCACACATCTCACACAGTGTAAGAGCATATAGGCAATCAGCTATTGACTGACTGTGGCAAGCGTATCTGGCTGTGTAGTAGCAGGTGTATCAGGCGTTCTCATGTTTGTCATATGGATATCTTGTTAATGCCAGACGCGTACACGACCCATACATGCTTGACTGGTGGTGAAACATGCAAGTGAAGCTTATAGATATAACAATTATTACAAAACTCAAGTATAGAATATTCGGTAGGCCAAGCGCCACGCAATGCGCTGCCCTTTTCGTAATGTGCAATTGTCTTCTGGTGCATAAACTACTTCGCGTGATATAAGCAGTGAACGCCCACAGGTTCGGATTACCCTTTCTATATTTAGTAAACATATTAATTAGCCCACGTGATATTCTGTTGCTGTTGCTGTACACTAGTTTAAGCCGCAACGATTGCAGCTGAGTCGAGAAAGGTTTCTCTCGTTGTATATTTGTACATTCGTAACGTGGTCGCTCTCGCTTTTTCTTCGCAATTATAATGGAATTTGCGAAAAATGTTGCTACGTTTTCTTACAGATTAGAAAAATTTTATGTTCGATTTTTGTCGGCAGGCGGATTTTGGCCTAAACACAGCTCGAATGTTCCAGGCATCGACCCTAACGGCAGTCGCCTGCTGCATGGTAACATATGAATACGTGTACGCCTAGTGAGATTAGTTGCTAAACAAAATCCGCGCCTACATGGGAAAAATAAACGGGGGCTCTTATCTACCCTACATGAAAACCTGTGTTTTAGCAGTCATGTATTTTTAAAGCATCGTGCAGACGCGGCTACATTGCTAAGGTAATGACACCAATTTAGACTTTTGTCACAATATCAATATCCTAGGAGCAGGACGCTGCATATGAACGGTGTTTCCGAAAAACGCGGTTTTAAAATAGCCGCGTTTCAAAAACACGGGGTTGACTTCGACATGGCACGGACCATCTTTCCTCGTGCAGACATAAACCCGGTGATATATAACTTCTCGTGCAGACGAATATGCAGTTTTTTGTCGCGTAAACGATCAACCCGGGATATGTTTCTTTGCCCAAGAGAGCATATTAAGTAGTTATTTACGGATTATATAGAAATGTGGGGAGATGTCATGAAAAAATTATTCCATTCCTAACCCACGCACCGCATCGATTGTCTGCCAACTACAAATTACGCCGTTTGTGACCCTAAACAGCTCATCTCTGCCCTTCTCACAGATTGTTTTCGCGCTCGATCTGGAAGTGAAGCGCGACAGCGATGACGACGGTGCTGCCGCCACCGCGATGCAGGACGCGGGCGCGCATCGTAGGCATAGTGACCAAGCGTCATTACGCCTTTGGCGTCAGCAGGGCTTCTACCCTGACCGCAGAGTCGGCCCGAACGGATACAGTACGAAGATTCCCCAGCGAGCACGAGCGCATTTCCGGATCCATGACCGGAGGACGAATCCAGCCCGCATCGAGCCAGGATACGGTGACGACTTTCACTTCGGCTTCCTGCACAAGCACACGACAACGACCCGGTACCCGTACGTGTACTTCGTGCGCCACACGATACCCTACGATGACCTGTACGACTCGACGCTCACCGACCACTACGTGTTCCACACCGCCGCCGCCCCGTGTCGCGGGGCGCGCGGCTGCCGCGGAAGCGAAAGTGACAACTACGATTACGGCCGCGACGACTACGCTGACGATTATCGCGGCGGCGCTGACTATGATTACGACGGCGGCTACGGTTACGATCAGCACGGAAATGCTGGTTACGTGGATGGGTACGCGCCGCAGGGCGTGGAAGGGGGCGGTGATAGCTACGCGGATGGACGTGGAGACGGTGTCTACTCCAGCACAGACCGGAACGACGGGGACTGGCAGTGGGACTACGGCTTGCCTACGGGGCACGGGGACGATGGTGCGATGTCAGCGCCACCCAACGACATCATAGGTAAGATTTGCGCGCTGTCTCGTTGTGTACTGAGATCATCCGCGTCGGTGTGTAATGATGATATCCGAGGTGGTAAGCCTATGCATGTGATGGAAGGTATCACAACGATGGTTGGCTCTATTTTTAACCCTAGTGCACTAATCTTATCAGGAGTCTATCAATATTGATAGACTCCTGATATTATGTTATAACCCTTTAGTTTTGGAAGTTTTATCATAGTCCTAACTTTAGCTCGAATATACCTCTAGAATTGTCCCCACAACAATCTTGAGAATGGTTCTGACAGTTACGCACAACGGGTGTGATGGTGCACATACTGCGACGCGTTAACTATTGACAATGCACGTGCAGATATACGAACCCACTGTGACGGCGCCTACAGAACCGTGCAGGTCGACATCTTGTTTACGGAGAACTTCAGCGGTAAGATCTTCGCTAGTGGTTACTACGGCATCCGGCAATGCTCGGCGCATGGAGACGGATCCAAGCAACTCAGTTTCGCGCTGCCCATCGACGGCTGCGGCACACAGGAGACTGCCGCCATCGAACAGGTACGTAATGATTGATATTGGAAAGGTAACCATGTGATTATTATTAATGAGATTTCAGATAGCCAGTGGTTGATATTGATCAGATATCGAAAGAGTATTCAATGGTTGATAGTGAGGAGATAATAGGCACGTAATCAGTGTTTGGGTTTGAGGAGATATCAGATTGGTAACTAGTGCTTGATATTGATCAGATATAGATGATATTCAATGGTTGATATTTATGAGATAATTGACAGGAGGGTTTGTAGTGGTTGGTATAGGGAGGCAATAAAAGATAACAAATAGTGTGTATAGTGATATAGTGGAAAGGCAAGCAACGGCTGATATAGAGGAATAACGAGATAGTAAACAGTGTAGTATTCAGTACATATATAGTATCAATGTCAGAATAGTATAATATCCGAATTAGTATCAATATATTATATCCATCCGAGTTTTGTTTCCTTGAAAAAGACAGTAATCAGTACATGTACTTGTATTTGAATTATATGCAATATAGATTTATTATTAATAATAATAATATAAATAATAATAATAGTAATAATGATAATAGTAATATAGAGCTAACAGAAAGGTAAGCAGTGGTTGGTATAGCGAGCTAGAGTGAGGGCAAGCAATGATTGCAAGGTATTGCTGAGATAGTTAAAAGGTAGTCAGTGTTTGGTATTGATGGTTATTCAGTAAGTCAAACAGTGATTTGCACTGATTGGATATTAGGCAGGTAGGAAGTAATTGAAATTAATGCGATATTGAAGAGAGACGCATTGAAAGGTAAGAAGTTACTGACATTTTGTATTGTAAGTGCAGGGAGATTTCTATGGATGAGACATCGGCAAGGTAAGCCGTATTTCAGTGCATATACGAGCAGGACTTTGTATAAGTTAGATATAGAGGAATAAACAGACGAGGCGATTGCAACCAAAAAACAGTGTTCTGGAGCGAGACCAGCGCGCGGTTTTCTATACATTATAGAAATGCTTACAGAAGATGGTTCGCGCGCAGTTGTAAGCGTAGGCGTAAGCGGGTGTCAGGTATGTGTCAGATATAAGCTTAATGTAGATCTGCTGTAGGTTAATTATAGTTCAGGTGTAAGTCAGGCGTGAGTCCCGGTTAGTTCAGGGTTAGGTCGAGTGTATCTAAGGCGATAGTCACCCTATATTTGCTTGAAAAAATCATTTTATCTTTGTGCTTAATCTTTTTCCTTATATTTTAAAGTATATTAAATAAATATAATTTATATAAAAAATAAAGTTAAAATGATTTTTTCTCCATTACCTATTATTGGGTAACAGTTGTGAAACCGACTTTGTACTAGTTCATTTTTCATTCCTCTTATAGCTTTTATTTCTATACTTATATTTAACAGCGAAATTCCACAGCGGTAATTCTTAAAGCGTATGCACACGCCATACTTTCGCTGCAATGCAACAAAGACATTTGCCTTTAACCGAAAATCGGCCACGTACGCTGATCTAAAACAGAGAATAATTGTTTGCAACACCTAACGTACGAAAAATACTACAGCCTGATTGATCAATCATGTACTATTCAAAATAATGACAACACACATCGAAAACGAGTGGCCAGCGAATGAAAAAAAAGCAGTTTCCGACCAATTTATGGAAAAGCCAGGAATGCTTGTTGCTGTCAGCTCCTTCATGTATCATGCCAGACGGAAGTAAGAGGGCCTTCTATAATTGCAATATCGATATACGGGTTGTAGGTTGATTGTATATTTTAACATGTAAGCCGCTGTCAACAGACGACGAGCAACATGATACAAAAGAAAATTATAACGTGATATATTTTGAACAGTAATCAGCCCTGTACGGTGGACGAAGACAAAAAGGAAATTCAAATGTTTTTGACATGTTCAAAAAATGTCCAGAATACAACAAAAATCAGCCGTGTGCGTTTAGTTTAAACTAACAATCCAAACTTAGCATGGAGACTAACCAATTCGTTTAGAACAACAGGTGGAATAGGTTTAGATTTAAGTTCCTATAACATATAGTTTGCATATTAATTATTGTAATTTTAGTTAGTGTTTAGTTAAGGTAGTTAGCGACCTAGTTCAAATTAGTTAACGCATAACGCTATCCTGGTACACCTCGACTCTAGCGAGACCTTAATTAGGACGTGGTAAACTATTATCATTGCCATCCTTCCTCTTGCGCCTCCTCAGCACACATCATTCGATGGCAACTTTGAGTCTACTACGGGCAGCTACGTGTACAGCTATCACAATGCTATCGTCGTCATGGAGGAGGTGAGCTACGGCGTGCTCGCTTCCTACGACCGCCTCTACCCAGTCAGCTGCGCGATCAGCGACACCGCTAGCGACACTGGCCACGAGCCGGGTAACAACACGACATCGTCGTTAGCGGAGGCACCAGGCGGGTAAGAGTATATTCATCTGGCGATGACAACCAGTAGCTGTTTTTTATGCGCGTGTGCGTTAACTTATGTGTATACCGACCGATACACTTATATTAAACTAATAACGCGCGTACATTGCTCGCACGGTCCTTGCCTTTTGAGACCTGGACTCGGTCAACAGTGGTGATGGTGCGATACGAAAATGAGAAGAAACGTCATAGAAATTAATTGCTGTTAACTGTTGCTAATTGGTAATGGCACCGCAATTGGGGCAAATCCGAGAATTCCGGAGCAAAATTCTGGAAAGAATTACGTGTGTATGTCAGGTTTAGACGAATAATCCCCCACATTTTACCATACCCCTCACCCCTACAGTAGCAATCGGGTAGATTTTGATTACTGTATTAATTTTCTGTTCAAAATACTTTAATCATTTTCAACTACGACAAATCTTTGCCACGTAGATGAAAAATGAAGCATGAATACACGAAAGGACAATCCTGATCTTATAGATTCCTCCTAGAGCCGCATTGGTCAGGGACTTCAAGACACGTCGTGTGTTAAATATTATGTCACTGTCTACTGTAACGTTCAACAATTTCCACTGTAGCCTGTTCATTTTAACGGGAAATTTTTGGAATTTAACTGATTTCATGGTTGATGAACCATGATCAGAGTTCGGCAAGGGCGCGCTAAAAACATTTGAAGCCTGTTGATAAATGTCGCGTTACCTGGCATATGTCGGACTGATAAAAAAGCTGTACTTTCGTTTACAAATACGTGATCAAGCAGTTGTAGATTTTATGTAATCAGACGTACTTGCGGACCCCCCTATATATATATATATATATATATATATATTTATATATAATATATATTATATATATATATGACAGAGCGGCCACCAGCAGACAGCAGGATGGACGGAGTTTGTCTTCCCGAAATGTCAAGATGAAAGTCGTGTTAGGCCACGATCCTTCGGCTCTGCCAATAGCCGGTCTAGTAGTCGGTGATTACACTTCACTCGTGATATATTATGCTCAACAATGTAAGTTATGCGTTTCTTAAACATTTAACTCTGAATTTAATGTTGATGTGTTAAATAATAGGCAGACAGGTCGTATGTAGATGGAAATTATGGGTATTTGAACCCAAAAAAACACACATCCGTCTATATGTCCTGATATACCCCTCTTGGTTGGGTATTGTGCAGACAAATTCGCCAATTACATTAAACATTCATAGTTATAGAAACCTATCAACCCTTATGTATCATCAAGGAATGATCATTGAGAGAGCGACCGAGAGAGGGGGAGAGTGAGAATTAATGAGAACGAGGAGGATCCGCGAATAGGTAACATACGTAGGGCACATATGTCTCACGCTGTAATATCTCGCCTGTGTGCCGCTGTGGTAATATGTCTCATGTTTTCAGATTCCAACTTCGACGTGTCGGTTCGCAACTGTTTTGCCCATGACGGCACCGGACACTACAAAGTTGATCTCGTTGATGATAATGGGTGAGTATAATTAACATCAATATAATGTATAGAGAATGATTATACACCGAGTTACCACCATGTCACCATGAAATGTTGGTAACAAACAACTGGTAAAGCAACAGCAAGCAACAGCAACCTCAACCACAACAAAAACAACATAATATTATATTAATTTGTTTTCTACATAGGTGTTCCACGGACCCAGAATATGTGAGTCAGCTATATGTAGAGTCCGCGCAGTACAGCGGTGAACACAGAATTTACACGACATTTCGTGCCTTTAAGTTTCCTGATCGCCACAACGTCTACTTCCAGTGCCTAGTAGACGTCTGCTACGGAAAATGTTATAAGGTACTTGACTTGAGAGCCTACACAAGTACGTAATAGCGTGTTCTCGATTTGACTCATTTATCGACGATTTGTCTGTGTAACAAACGTACAGCACACATATATGAGTTCATTAAATTCATTTTCCTCATGCTTCTATACTGCTTAGCTATTACGTTTCTCGATCATACTGACATGTCTAACTCAACCCTTACGGCATAAAATAATTTAATTTTGTGATGAATCCAAAATATTAGGTATCTTTATCAAGCACAGCAGATCGGCTGTTGAAACGGTCGGATTAGCAAGAAGTATTTTGCATTCATCTCAAGAATGGAATACGATTACAACATTTACGATCTCCTCTAACCGGTTCTCTCTGCTCAGAGAGCGTGCACGCCTTACAGTGCCACACTGCGGCCTCGCCAGGGAGCGCACGATGATTCCCATAGTTTCAACGTACGCGTTAAACGATCTGCAACTGATGGCCGGGTGACGAACGCAGCGCAATCCCAGCAAAACACGTCTAGCGCTCTGACGGATGAGTACATGGTAGAACAGGCCGAGCTGTTCCGAGCTCTTACGATCCTGCTTCCGGGAGAAAAACTCCTTCATGCGGGTGAGAGAACGCCTATGTTAATTTGTTTAGTTACACGGGTATACTGGGCCGCGCGACAAATTATGACATATGTATGGAAAGCAATCCCCTTCAAAAATCATTTTCAAACATTTCAAATACACAATTTTAAATCAATTTTAAACATTTCAAATTAATTAATAAAAATACAAATTACTTTATATTGTTCGAGAAATTTAAATTCAAAATTTAAAATCAATTCACAGAATATCAAATCAATTGAATAACTTGCAAATTAATTCACAACTTTTCAAAATAATTGCCTGATATCCAAATTCCTTTACATCGTTGTAAAAATTCATTTTCTAAACGTGCAATTTATTTTCAAAACAACAAACCAATTTACTAACTTGCAATTTAATTGCGAACATGTTACATAAACTCACAAATGTTCGAATCTTGCTTCATCACCCTAACAATTGAAATTGTAAGTTTTAAATTAATTTACAGAATATCGAATCAGTTCACTAAGTTTGGAATTAATTTATTACTTTTAACATTAATCACCAGAAATGTGAATCTAACTGTTGGTTTCAGAATTATTAGGTAACAAACGACAAATGTATAGCTTAAATTACAAATTAATCATACAGCTTTCAACACATATATAAATGTATACAATCAAAGAGCTCATTTAACAATCAATTTATGCAACTTCCAATCTATTCAAGACCTCTGAAATCACTTACTAACGTTTACAATTTGCCCCCCCCCCCACTCTGTTGTTTTCGGTCCGTGTGCAAAACTATTCAGGAAACTTCGAATCAATTCATATGACTTGCAATCTATTCACTACACTTTCCGAACCAGCCAGCTACAAACTAAACTCCAAATCAATTCATTCTAAAAGTGCCCGGATGCTTCAGCTCGGATGGATACGCTATAGTATTGGAGGATCCGATTTTTACCGCCCTGCGGGAAAGATGTGTTTGTTTACAGCTGTACACTGTAGTGACAGTGTTGCCCAAGGAGCGTTCAGCGTGACATCACGTCCAGGTCACGTGTGTAAACATAGCTCTGCTGGTTGGCAAAAGCGTTCGCCGGCACAGGCACTTGGAACGTCTCAATAAAATAAAATAAAGGTAAATAAACACGAAATGTATTCACTACCAAAGTCTTATTATGTTTTTCTACTCTATTTCGCCTATAATCACCTGTAAATGCCGGTCAAATGCTCATCTGCAACACACAAGTACACCGCACGCCTTTTCGTACATTTCGTGTTTATTTACCTTCTTTTTTTTATTGAGACGTTCCAAGTGCCTGTGCCGGCGAACGCTTTTGCCAACCAGCAGAGCTATGTTTACACCCGTGACCTGGACGTGACGTCACGCTGAACGCTCCTTTGGCAACACTGTCACTACAGTGTACAGCTGCTGTAAACAAACACATCTTTCCCGCAGGGTGGTAAAATTCGGATCCTCCAATACTATAGCGTATCCATGCGAGCTGAAGCATCCGGGCACTTTTAGAATGAATTGTTTTGGAGTTTGGTTTCTAGTTGGCTGGTTCGGAAAGTGTAGTGAATAGATTGCAAGTCCTATGAATTGATTCAAAGTTTCCTGAATAGATTTGCACACGGACTGGAAACAACAGAGTGGGCGGCAAATTGTAAACGTTAGTAAGTGATTTCAGAGGTCTTGAATAGATTGGAAGTTGCATAAATTGATTGTTAAATGAGCTCTTTGATTGTAAACATTTATATATGTTTTGAAAGCTGTATGATTAATTTGTAATTTAAGCTATACATTTGTCGTTTGTTACCTAATAATTCTGAACCAACAGTTAGATTCGCATTTCTGGTGATTAATGTTAAAAGTAATAAATTAATTTCAAACTTAGTGAAGCTGAGAGGGTCTATGTCCCCCAGGGTACTGCCGGAACGTACTCTGGGTACGGTCCGGTATACCGGAACGTACCCTGGTACTATCTAATATGCCGGACAGTACCTCGCCTACTCCACTAGCGAGTCTAGGGAGTCGCCTACGCCTACTCCCTAACCCTAACCCTAACCCTAACCCTAACCCTAACCCTAACCCTAACCCTAAC